TCCACCCACCCACCCACCCACCCCATCTCTCACTCTTACACTCTGTCCATGCGTTCTTGTTCATGCTTCAAGGTCCTACTCAAGAACAGGTCAGTCTCATCTGGTAATTGAGGGGTATGTATGTTTTCTCTGTTTGTTAAAATCTTCGATTTGATTACCCCCACCCCAAATTAGGGTTCAAAATTCGTTAAAAGTCTATTCTTTTTCGATTTTGTGAATACCCTTTACAGTTTTGCTCTTAAAGTTTGCATTTTTATGGAGTTTGGAAGTTCTATTCTTGGTTCTGTGCAACCCCTTTTCAGCTTGGTCTTGTATTGTTAATATAATGTGGACACATGAAATACTTTTGCTTTTTCCAAAGCATATTGACTCAAAGTTTGGATTTTTGGGGCTGTAGGAAGAAAAATCCTTCATGATATTCTTGAAAATTCAACCTTTAAGCTGTCTATTATATGTGTTGGTAAAATAAAATGGAATATTTTTTTTTTCTTTTAATGATGCAAAAGGGGAAAGTAGCTTGTATCCTATTTAGTTTTTGTTGTTATTTGAATTTGGACTGTAAAATAAACAGGCAATTTAGTTCTTATAATCAATCAGTGTAATTAAAAAAAACAATCTTATAATCAATCAGTCAACTTGGTTGAGTTCAGAGTATAGTTGTGCACAATTGGATTTATTAGTTAGACAAATTTCGCTCGGTGATGTTGTGTCTATAGAAGTGGAAGAAAGTAAAGAGTGGATGAAGAATAAGTTTCTTTGGTCTGAAGGTTTTAGGGAAATCACTCACACATAACATGTCTTTTGATAAGCGAATTTTAGTTCTTTCTTTTGTTTATACTTTGTAGTTTTGAAACTTTTGGATTTTCTTTGAGTTACCTTTACAGATCTTCTTCTGTTGATTTCCTCGATTTTTCTTTGGAATTGCAGCTTCTAATCTTGGAACTGTTCAATCTCTTCGCAGCTGAGTCTGATTATGTCTGGAGGAATCCTCCCTAATTTGCCTGTAAATAAAACATTTAACTCTGGTTTGCTATTCTTTATTTTCTAGCTTATGTCATTAAGTAGAAGAAAAGTTAACATTTTAAAAAAAGCTTCTTCTTTTGTCATTCAACAAACAAAAGGTGCAGAAAATGGGCATAAAAAAGTTCTTATAAAATACAAGTCTCTGATCTTAATGGAGTTTATTTTAGAATTCCACAAATTATTAGCTGTACACTTTTTCACTTGGTCATGTTGTCTATGTAGAAATGGAGGAGAGGAAATTAGATGAAGAATAAGTTTATTTTCTTCTCTTCAAATGGATTTATATATTAGTTGAACGAGCAACGATACAGTTTTCCATTTTCCCTTTTTGTTTTCCAGAAGTTGGTGAATCTGACTGAAGTCCTGTGGAATGAACAGCTTGTTTCATGCATGTTCAACTGCAATATTAACAAGGACTAGCCATCTTGTTGTGAAGAGTTCAATCTGTGGATTTCCATCTCTTTCATGGAAGACAAGCGTTGGTCATGCTAGAATTAGAAAAGTTGATTCCAACTTGTATTTGAATAGAGTTTCTGTTTGTTGCTATTCGTCCAAAAAACATAGTGGAGATAGTTCTCCATCGCAGAATTCTGATTCCACTCCAGAAATGAAAGAAGAGAGAGATGGTTTCTTTGTTGTTAGGAAAGGAGATCTGGTTGGAGTCTACAAAAACTTGAGTGATTGCCAGACCCAAGTTGGATCATCGGTAACTACTGTTATTTCAGCCATTTATTGATCTGTTGTTGAATCGTTCTATTGTTTGTAGATGACTTTTATCCCCAGGGAAGATATAAAGACACAATACTATGCATCAGAAATTATCCATACATTATGTACAAAATTACTTTTTCATATTCTTGATGATTAATTGACATAGGTAGATTCAGCCAAAAAGTCAAAACCTTGTGTAGTAACAAGATTACCTTATTTTTTACTCTCTCCGTCCATTTTTACTTGTCTAGCATTGACTTGGCACACCCTTAAGGAGCAATTACTAGAATGACAAAATTTACGACATCAACCTTTTTTTTTACTACATCAACCTTTGAAAGTAATAAACTTAATATTATGGGAAATGCACTAGAAAATGACTGGTTCATAATAAGGAGTTGTTTGGTTTGAATTCAAGTTATGATGGGATTAGTTATGAAGGGATAAGTTATAATGAGATTAGTTATGATGGATAAGTTATGCTAAGATTATTTTTTATTGAGTGTTTGGTTTGTTGTATTTAAAATAATAAATCTTAAGAACATGTAAGTTTACAAAAATACCCTTCATGGATGTGAAAAGTAATAATGTATAAAAAATGTTTAAAGGGATATTTTTGTCATTTAGTCATTTTATCCCGGGATTACAATACCACCCATGGGAAGGGATAACTTATCCCGGTACTAATTATTAATCTCGGGATAAGTTATCCCGGACTTGCCAACCAAACAACAAATTAAGTGGCACTATAATTTAATCCCAGGATTATTTTAAGTTATCCTTCACACCAAACGACCCCTAAGGGTAAATTAGGAACTAAGTGATAAGTTACCTCTTGGTTTTCTAGACTGCACAAGTAATAGTGGACGAAGGGAGTAACTGCAATTTCAGATAAGCTCATTGAGTGACTGACAATTGTTAAGGAATGCTCTAATTGAAAGCGGAGGGTAGTGTAAGAAATTATGTCTTCTATATGTTATTCTTTTGTCTCATTGTATTTGTGAAACAATATCTGTGAATATTCAGAGGATAAAAGAAAGAGGTAAATTGAGTTAATTGTTTACCCTTTCATTAGAAAGTATTTTTCCTAAGTTCTCTATTCATTTTCTGCAATCACGCCTTCTCCATATTGTTAGGATTTCTCTGTCACTTCATCTGCCTATTGCCAGGTGGCATACTTGAGAACATGTAGTACGGATAGATAGGTCTTCTGCAATAATTGGACGATGCTTGTGAGATGACTTCCCAGTGGGTTCATAGACTTCTTACACATATTATAAGGGGTCAAATCTTGTGAAACTTTGGTGCATCCTTGGTGCTGCAGGCTTATTTTAGTGAAATCTAGTTATAACAAATAAAATATTAGTATCTAAATAAAAAAGAAAGATTGTTATCACAATGAAGTTTCCAGACTTGCAATTGATATAATGAGTTGTTTTCTCTTCCTCTTCTGTTTCTGGCAGATATGTGATCCTCCTGTTAGTGTGTACAAAGGCTATGCCATGCCTAAGGACACAGAAGAATATCTTCTTTCTTGTGGGCTTAAAAATGCTCTCTATTCTATCAGAGCTGCAGATCTTACCGAAGATCTCTTTGGGACCCTAGTACCATGCCCTTTTCAGGTATAGTTCCTGAGCAGTTCTCTTGGATTAAATTTGTTCCTTTTTTCCAAAGGTGAATATTTGATTTCAGAACTTGTTGACTATGAGGTTTCATATACAGATTTCCTGTCTCTGGGAAAAAGAGGCTTTGAGGCTTCATCATTAGAATGTATATTTTGCAACTTAATATCAGTTTATATTTTATATTACTCTCAAAGGAATCACACGATACTGTTAAAAACAATGAGCTAAAGAAAAACTGGAATTGTCATGTTTCCAGTGCAGCTGATCTCCAGAAACAAAACCATGAGGTTCCTGGCTAACTTTGTGTCTTCTGTCTAGAGAGTCTGATCCTGCTTTGGTCAAACTTCTTTTGAAAAACCGAGGGTCTATCGGAAACAACCTCTCTACCCCATAAAGGTAGGGGTAAGGTCTGCTTACATCCTACCCTCCCCAGACCCCATTTGTTGGATTACATTGTGTATGGTTGTTGTTGCCTAGAGTGTCTGAAAACTTTACCTGTTAAATGTTAGAGTTTTCATATTCCAACCACGATGACTAGATTGAAAGAGTTTTTTTCAACTTTAAAACTTGGCTTGTGCCTTAATGTTATAGCAGGAATGAAAAACTTCCTGACACACCTATTCTTTAAATAAAGAAAGTTAATGATTTTAGTACAACACCCTTACCATTTCAATAATGGTACAAGGGAAAACTGCGAGAGCTTCTTAATCGTCATGCATGGTATACATACTTCTTTCTGTTTCTTCTATATTGTATATCAAGGATTATCTCTGAATGCTGATACAATATCAGTAGTTTTGTATTTGGCCCATTTAATTTTCTACTGCGTATCTTCATGTCCACATTATAGTTAACTAAAGATCGACTAAGGGGGGTGTTTGGATTGGCTTTTTTAAACACCTCCAAAAATAAGAAAGTTTAAAAGCCAAAATCTACTTAAAATAAGCCAATCCAAACAACCTCTACAACAATCATTGCCTCTCCATTCTCTATTTCTTTGATTCTTCTCTGTTTGTCTCTCTGAAAGTTCTTTTGATTTTGCTCTCTCCATGCACCCTTTGCTTTATATGGAATTGCTGGTCAGTTGTATGCTCTGATAGTTATCTTAAAATTGCAGCGCCAAGAAATTAATACATGTTTCTTCTTCCCTTATTTTCTTTTATAATTGGTCATACAGCTTTATTAGTATTTCATATTTTGCAGCAACCTTCTTCTTCAAAAAGTGGAACATCTGATCATTTGCCAAAGAAGAGGCCACAGGAAGCAGTGTGGTCAGAATATGCGGTAAGATGGTTGTATATTGTTTTGCAGTGGAAAAGTCTACCAGGGTTTGCAGCAATTTCTTCTGAAGTTGTTTCCACTTTACTCTACAATCCAAGTTTAATTACTTTGCTCAATCATTTTCCAAACAGGGTTTGGTTCCTAAGGAACTCAATGTACTTACTTATTATGCTTGCATGCACTTCAATTTATAGATTCCTTTCTAGAATTTTCCTTGAGATGCCATAACTAATGGTTTCGCAGCTTCCAGTTTTTTCTCACAAGTTGGTCTTCTTTGCAAGTTCAATTTTTATTCTCATTCGTTATGAGAGAATTCTAGGGATCTTTCTTTTATGTCTGTGTGGCCCAGTTTTTTAGAGATACAATGATCATTTCATAAGGTGGTAAGTCTCAAACATGGAAGTACTAGGAACAGCGTAATTCTGAAAACTTATTCCCACAGCATAGCCTAGTAATGCAGGTGTAGACCTGGAAAAGATAATTCGGGTAAGTGGTACATTTACCAGAGATATAAAAGAAAATTTCTCATGATAATAGGCTTCAGAAAGAGAGAGAAAAGCAGTGGTTACTTGTACGTGCATCTTACAGGAAGTACTCCATAAAAGGATGATAAAGACAACAGATTAGTCTTCTTCCTCATAAAAAGTTTCTTAGTCACATAAAATTAATCAACTTTTATTTGTGTGTCTCTCTCTTTGGCACCATTGCATTAACCTTTGCACTAAATCACGAATCGGATCAACTTGATATTGTTTGATGGCCTGAGATAATACTTTACCATGTTTGTGCATTGATACTGGCATACTGCATAGTGGTTGATGTCTGTTTCTCTTTCCTTTATTTCTTTTAAACTGGAACTTCCCCATTGATGAAAATTTTCATATAATGATTCAAGGTTATTTAGGAAGAAGTTAAGAGTAATTATCCCTTGAGTTTTTGGGCAGTGTAGCTATATGACTAGATGGGAGATCTTTTTACTTTTTTCTTTATTGGAGCTAAGGTCGTCGAAATTGGCTAATTATTGTTGTGTGCTTGCATAGAGCCTTGTTAGGGGTTTGCAAATGTTTGGTGAAGTTGAAAAAAAGAGTATTTTGAAGTTAACGTTGAAAAAGGAGTATTTGGAAGTTGTCGGTAATTTTATTTGTCAACAAAAAGGCAAGACTTAATATTTTTGAGAAGTCTGCATTAAGTATGTCAATAGAAAATGTTGTTGCCTTTTGGGAATAGACCATCTTGGTGGTGTTTATTCTACATACAATTGGATGAATTGCAACATGTTACTGTACAAGAGGCACATAAAAGTTGCAATCAATGGATTGTTTTCTTTGCAGTATTTTGTTCTACTACCGGCCTTTTTGCAAAGATTGTTATGTATATTGTATTAAAATAGTTGTAACGCTGATCAGTTACATTTTTTGCATGAATAAACTGTGTTTGGCTCAACACTGTTATGGAAATTACTTTGTTTATTGGCATCCCCTTTGCAGGATGCTGTTGGATCAACGGTTGTTTCAAATGATTCCGCAAGAAAGCATGTCAAGTTAGAACAACAAAAGGGCGACCAAGTTCTAGCTCTACCATCTGGTGTGAGTGTCTGTTAAGATGATGGCTAATCTTTAAGCATAAATAACTTCTAAATGTGTAGTTTACAAAGAAAATGAATTTATACTTAATGGTAGGTTGGCAGGAGCAAAATCCTATTTTTTTTACAGATTAATGGTGTAAACTTAACTCTCTGTGGCAAACTATCAGGCTAGGATCTTATTATTTTTCTTGTTGGTTTGTGTTCTGGTACAAAGAATCTGATAGTTGTTATCCTTAGCAGCGGTCATGTACTCTTGAATTCGATGGTGCTTCAAAGGGAAATCCTGGACAAGCTGGTGCGGGAGCTGTTATACGGGCGGATGATGGAAGCATGGTAATGATCACTAAATTTGGAATTGTACTTTTGCTTTTGGTTCTTCATACTGGTACTTACAACCTTCCTTCTAATAGACCCTCAGGCTACGTGAAGGTTTAGGAGTGGCAACAAGCAATCATGCTGAATACAGGGCCTTTATTTTGGGTTTGAAACATGCTCTTAGAGAAGGGTTTACAAGCATTCGTGTTCAAGGTGACTCCAAGCTTGTTTGTATGCAGGTTTGTTTTCTATATCATGTGCTCAGTCGCGTATTTCTCCTTTCCCTTGTGTGAGATTATTCCTTTATGGTACACTGCAGTATACATGTCACATTCTGTTGATGTTTTAAGTGTGACCTAGTGGTCTATGAAGTTGGTTGATAACCATGAGGTCTGGCGTTCAATTCTCCACTGAGACAAAACATTAGGTTATTTCTTCCCATCTATCCAAACCTTGGTGTATAGAGTTAGATATCTGGTACCTGTGGTGGTGGGAGGTAGCATGTGCCCTGTCCGTTTTTTATGGGACACCACAGTTATAAAAAAACTTAACTACATTCTTTAATCTTTTAGCTGGAATAACTGGATTTGAAGTGATTAATTTCATTTCATAGTGCCATTTCCTCATGTCTCTTCTGCCTTGTATTTTTCGTCTGTATGGGATAAGTTTCTTCTGATCTCTCTGGCATATCGTAGTCATAATTTCCTTGTGAACTAACTGAACCACCGTGTTAGAGAAGAAAGAAGAAAAGCTTTTCAACTTTTATTATGGTTAAATCAGTAGTTATCACCCAAAAAAATATATTCATGCGTAGGTCAGCTACCACTGTCAACTCAAGTTCAGTGTAGGTGCAGGACAACATATGATTTAAAGAAATGGAGAATTTTAACAAATATTTCGAGATTAGTAATGATTTTATGCTTTAGCGATGATACTAATGAAGGATGAGCTGAAATGAGTTGGCATAATAGGAAAAATTCAGAAGAGGTAGATTCCTGATCCGTGAAAAGGTCGAACCTAGAAAAAGTCTCGTTTTATCTCAGTGGAAAAAAATTTGACAAGCTAGAAGGATCTGATGAGAAGTTCTTTTGCTCTATATTGCTCGGATTCTCCAAAAGATATGCCACCTCCGTGTCGGATCCTCCAAAAGGCACTGTTTGAAACTCTTGAAGAGTCCGAGCAACATAGCTTTTGCTTATTAGCTGTCCTCTATTCTTAGTTTATTTGACTTTAATCAGATTGTAATTTGCCAAACAGATCCAAGGTCTGTGGAAGGTTAAAAATCAAAACATTGCCGTGGTGTTTGAGCAGGCAAAACAATTGAAGGAAAGGTTCCTTTCTTTCCGCATCATTCATGTCCTTCGGGTAATACTGTAACATCCTTTCTCTTCTTTCATTCACACAACATAACGTAAAAACTACATATATTCCTCATGTCTGGAATTATTACCTATCTTCTCCTTGACGATTTTTATAGAAGTTTGACATGTCTCTTACTCTTTTGTTTTATAGGAATCAAACTCTGATGCAGATCAGCAAGCAAACTTGGCTGTTGAACTTCCTGGTAAGAGTTACTTTCTTGCACACTCGGAATTTGTCATTTTTATAGGTCATCGAAGTTATAATCTAACTACATCTATATTAATACAGAGGGTCAAATTCAAGAGGAGTTACAGAAATGACAAAGCCACACTGATGGTTTTTCGCGTACATTGCAAAAATGTACAGACTAAGGATTTATTTATACGCCCAGCATTCTTACCAACCTAAAGAAGGTTTGTGCTATGAAACCAGTGGATCATTTAGCGTCCTCTTTGGATTAATGTTATTGCAATTAGGAATTATGTTACCTTTAAATTCTCAGCAATGGGAAATTATGTCTCTCTCATTTGTAAGATTATATGTGTGTGTATCTAACAATGCCCCCCATCAAATAAGTGGTAAGACTCATTGAACTGTGATACATCTTTTTGTTAAAGATGAGTTCCACTTGTAAGATACCATAGATATAATAAAATTGTTACTAGTTCTTGCAATTTGTATGGTTCTTTTTGTCATTAGCAAAAGGGAAGAGGAGAATCAATGGAATCAAGAAGATTTCTTGAACATGCTGTTTCATGACAATAATTAGTATGAAGTTGATCACGTGGAATTGTAATCTTCTCCGTATCTTTCTATTTCTATTATTACTAGTAAAGGATGGCCCGTGCTATGCATGAGCCCAATAATGTTGATTTAATAGTAAAAAAGTAATTTTTTTTACTATAAAAAAATTCAAATTATTAGTATTGAAAAGTTAAAGAGTTCAAGAAAAGATTTATCTTCTCTTTTTTTAAGCGGCGCTAATTAACACGAGTTAAAAAAATTTCTCCTAAATATGTGTTGACAATTCGATTCTTCTTATAGTTTCTTGTATAATTCTACATCACTTATAAAAAAAAATATTTAATAGAAATAATGACTAAAACTGTTTGACTAAGTTATTCGTTCTCTCTCTTTTCCGTCAATCAGATTTTATTTCTTTATTTTTTACTCTACCAAAAAAAATAATTATTTATTCATAAAAGATTATATTGATAAGACAAATCAATTTAATTAATTATATTTTGAAATTTTAAATTTGAGTAGCTATTACTTTATATAGTGATTTAATGATTAAAAAAAATAGGAGTATTGAATAAAATAATAAACATGTTTTGATTTGTTAAAATATAAATAAAATACTCCAATAAAGTTAAACAAAAATCTCTTGGAAATGATCCTCATATATAGAAGTTTTTAGAACACTTGACATGATGAATTAAATATCTACCGTTGGATAAGTTCTTCAAAGAACCGTAGATGCTTGACACGTATGCAAGTACAGCGTTCCACGCTATTCTCTTTCCATTTTTTTTAAAATAGAGAAAAGTCTCGAGAAAACTGAAATTCTTATGCTTCATTCATCTGCGATGAAGATTTTGATGATTAGGAGGGGTTTACGGTTACTGGCCACCGGAAATTTGAACTCCTCGCCGTTGATTTACCGGCGGCATTCTTCTCACTCGACGTCCTCTTTCTCTAGTTCGTCTCGGTTGAATGCTAACTTCGCCGCAGATGATTTGCTGCTCGGCGATCAATTAGCTACCTTGGCTTCCAAAGCGGAGATTGTTCCGAATCTACTTCAGCCTGGTGTCGTTGTCTATGACGGCGTTTGTCATCTTTGTCACAACGGTATTAATTTATCATCTTCCTAGTGTATGTTTATTCGTGCTTTTAGCTGTATACTGCATTTGTGCTTTGATTTATGACTACAGTTGAGTATCGGAGGTTGTAAATGAGTACAGGAGTGCGATTATTGTACAGTTTTTTGTGTTTGTAGTTACATTTGCTATCATCAATTTAGTTTTGAAAGTGAAATTATTAATTTGGCATGAGGATTTATTGAGGTTGGTATAGCCATGGCTATACATGTACATTTAAGTCTCCAGTCATAGGCTTCACTTGTGATTTTTATTTTTTTTAGCTTGATGACTTGAAATTTGAATTTAATTTTTGTGGTAAAGGTGGGAATTCTGCTTATCTGATGTGAAATGGTTATCATTTGATTGTCGAGAGAGAAAACATCCAATGTGCACTTGCAAGCTCAAGTTGTTGTATCGTGTATTCTATGTCCTGTTTGTGACACATGTATCCTTTGATAATGTATGAGTTGTACAGCATGATAGTTAAGGCAACTTTCTCAGTTTTGAACAAAAATGTAAAAATGCAGTACATGAAGTTTCGAAGTTGGAACCCAAAGCTCCTCAGCCATTACTTGCTGCTTTATCTCTTTTTAAAAGAAAAAATATAATGACAAAACTATTATGTTTCAGTGACATATCTAATCAACTTGAATAGGATTTTAAGATTTGTCACGATCTTTCACATAAATTAGTAGGCAGGAAGATGGTAGGAGCCACCATTTTGAGAATTCAAGCAACGTAGCTTGCTTACTGTCCTAGTAGTGTATTTTGGCAAGCATTTAGAAAGTGACAAGTCACTTTTGGGCAAAGTTTACTTGTACAAACCGAAGAACAGAAAGTTAGTTTATAAGAGAAATCTTCATTAATGTCTCATTGCCTCAACTAGTTTGGGATTGAAGCATAGTTGCTTGACTGTCTCATTGGATGATGGGGAAATGGTTATTCTTTAGGTCTAAACTTCCGTTGGCATAGACACAGGAGCGGAGGGGTACATGCATAATTGGTCGTCTCAGTTTATATGAGCTTCTTGCCATTTTATATGTAGGTGTGAAATGGGTGATTAAAGCTGACAGGGATAAGAAAATCAAGTTCTGTTGCTTGCAGTCAAAGGCTGCTGAACCTTACATGAGTGTGTGTGATCTTGATCGAGATGACGTTCGTCGTCGCTTCTTATTCATTGAAGGCCCAGGTTTATACCATCAAGGCTCCACTGGTTAGAACTATTACCCTGTATTACTGTATCAACTTGACTACCTCTTCATTGTGGTTTCACAATTATTGCCATTATATAAATATTTTTTCTTATTTTTGTATGTCCAAGTAGCATCTAAACTTTTCCACGAGAGCCTGGCTAACTTGTAAACGCAATGCATCTGACTGCTCCCGAGTTGTCCTTTCATGAACTACACAATCATTCTTTGACAAGAAATTGTTTGCAAATATACTATGGCAGATAGCTATGATAAATTTAGTTTATGAAGTTTGCTTTACGTAGCGCTCAACATTCTGGTAATTGGATATTGATGGGTATTGGCTTGAGCTAATTGTTAGTGTAATGAGATATGTGCTAACTCCTACTGCCAATCCTTTGGACAGCTTTACCCCCATGAATTCAGATCCGGTTGCACTGAATGTGCTTCCAGCTAATATATTTGGAATTGTAATTTATAGTTCTACCATTGTTTCCAGGTGCACATAAACAAACAGATTTAGAGCATTTAGGTTTATTTGAACTGGTATTTTTGGAAATCAACGTGGTTGTGGTTGTGGTTGTGGTTATGGTGAATTTTTTAATTTTTGCCATGAATTTGACAGTGGCATGGAGTTGAAAATCACAAGTTGTTATCCTGCCTGTGCTCCTGCCACATACATTTTTTCTTCATTTACTAGAAGACATGAATCTGTAAGAATTTGCTATTTCATTTTTAAGCAGTATTCAGGAGTCTGAATTGGATGGTTTTTCTTAGGTAAAAACAGTTGAGCAGGGAGTTAGAAAGGTAACAGGGGGGATTTTGCAATAAAAATTGTTCTTCCCTTTGCAACTAGTTGTTTTTTCTTTTTTAAAGTTTACAGTAGTTAGAAATCCTGGAATGACTTGTCTGGTAATTTACCAATCATAAATTGGGGGGAAATTTTTTTCATTTGAACTTTCTTCTAATCAAATCACAAAGGAATCAACTGTTGGCTAGATTACCCCCTTTTATTTTTATGTTTAATTCTTTTTATGTTCTATAATGAAAAAGTTATCATGATTCATCGAAAGTGGAATACCGAGTTTCATAGGCTGCATGCTTTCTGTACATTGAGATCCAGTGTGAGTAGCAGCCTTTCTGCAGATCGTTCCTATTCTTGCACAATTAAGCATACTCAGTATGTTGCTTTTGTTTTTTCCTTACTAGAATTGGAATGGTATAGTTGGCTGTGGAAATCACAAGTCTAATATATCTGATTTTTGCTGCAGCTGCACTGAGGGTTCTAGCTCACTTGCCATTACCTTACGCTGCGCTGAGTTGCCTCATGATTGTACCTACTCCTTTAAGGGATGCTGTTTACGATCATGTTGCCAAGGAGAGGTATAAATGGTTTGGGAAGAGTGATGACTGTTTGGTCCTCCGGGAACAAGACTTGCTTGACCGCTTCATTGATAGAGAAGAGTTGCTTGAACGTAGCCGATCAGTCTTGTGAAATGCTGCTTCAATGAGTATGAGAGTGGAGGTCGTTATTAACAGGAAGTTCCAATTAACATTCTTTTGGAGTTGTAAGTATGTAGTCCATCCATAGTATACATACACTAAATATAATCACGAGTGTGAAGAACTGGGAATGCCTTCGTTTTTTGTCATTGACGAAAAGTACAACACGTTCAAGGGGAGTATACTATCTGTCCAGTTACTTATGTAGACATTCTTTATAGTAGATACTTCTGACTTGTTGGTTAGCTACTCGCATTCAGTTGTACATTTGAACCTTTTACCTGTTGAGTGCTTAATCAATTCAAAAGCGGCGTTTGGTTTCATAATAGTTTTCCATGGTTGTGTCTCCTTCCGTTGCCATGCATTACCTTGTAATGTCTTCCATGGCACTGTCTTCATCTTTTCGTTGCCTTGCTTTATTTTGTTAACTTTATGTAATCTGTTTTACTTTCTACTATCTCATTATATAACTCTTGAATTCTTTGCTCACCTCTGAAATCTTGTGTTAAGTCGAATGCAAATTCTAATCGACCTTCAAATATAATGGATAGGGTGGGAGAAGTAATGACATTTCTGCATGTAAAACTTTTCATCTACATGCCTATGGAGGAAATTCCTTCTATCTATTACTGGTGCACCATTTTAAAGGTGAATATACATATTGATAATAGATTCAAGATGACATGTAATTATGCCTGTACTACATTGGGTTGGTGTTAAGGAGTTTCTTGAGCAATACATTACCTTATTCAGATCGTATAATATCTAATATTTGAAAAATGAGCATAGAGTAAGAATGTTAAAACGTTAACGGTGAGCATAATAATATAACAAAGTGCCATCGTGAGAATGAGAAACTTTTCTGACTAGTTTCTCTAATTTCTAGTCCTATACTATCACATACTACTGTAAAGGGAGTTCCCAACAAAAAAATAGCATGCATCAAAACTTCTGGCAACAGATCTTGGTTGTTGGATCATCTTTTCTTGCCACTATTCGAATTCCTTCTGGGTCTTGGTTGTTGGATTATTTTTTCTTACCACTATTCCATTCCTTCCAATCATTGTCAACATGACTTTGTGCCCATTTGACTGCAGCACGCGCAGCCTGTGGTCCTCCTGGTAAACCTCTGTCGTTTATGGTATCTGCCATATCGATGAATGGAACAACCAGTAATGTTCCTGGACCACCATACTCAGCATGTAAGAACTCGTTGAGGATCTGTTCAATAAATTATTTGAACCAATGTTATTTACATTTCAGTATACTTTCAGCTCCAAGAAAATGCAGCTTCAAGCAAGAAAATAACAAGTGCAAACTTGAAAACCTATGAGGAAAAAAGCATCTTGGCCAAGGGAAAAGATGCTGTGCAAAAGATTTACATTCAACTTCCAAGGATATTGGTAAAGTTTATACTAAACCGTGTAATATAGCCCCAAACAAGACTTTTCACTGCTTTCTCTATTTGTTCCTAAGCAAGTACTTCGTCCAGAAAAAATTGGAAATCATATACAGTAATATCAATCAATCAACCCAAACTCAATCCTAAGTTAGTTGGGGCTATGTGAATCCTCTATATTTAATCCGCTCTATTAATTAGATCCAAATGGTGGCACACGTAACTGCAGTATCAATTGCAAAACATGCCTACCAAGAGGTCCTAGATTTATTTCATTGAAATCCATAGCCTTTAAGCTATTCAGTAACTCCTATTACAAGGTGTGATAACTGATAAGTACTGTGATTATCAAACAGCTAAAGAGAAACACATCGACTGATAGTGGAATCCTGCAGAAATGAACATACCATTATGTCTCACACTACATAATGTCATCTAAAGCATAAACAATTTTCGGGCCGCAATGCAGGATTCTTGAATTACCATTACATCAAAGCCAGCAGAGAAGTAAATATTACAGCAAATAAAGGTAATTTATGCTAAGTTAATATCTTCTTATTTGTTCAAATTTTGGTGGACAAGAGTAAAGATGCAGGCAATGGCGGAGTACATAGAACGAATGATGGTCAGTTGAACACCCTTCATCAAAAAATTATATACTTTTTACAGAGAAAATTATACTGCATATATAGGTCAAAAACTATTTTTCATACATACGTATTAAATCATGAACACCCTCGACGAAAATTCACGCTGTTAAGAACGTTTTATGAGGGAGAAGCAGGTATCGCAATTACATTGGGTATGTTGTTGTAGAGTAAGATATCAGGTATCGAGTAAAATTAGTTGAGCTATACGCAAACTGACCGGAACAGAATTAATGGATGAAACAATAATGGAAGTACCTCAGTGCAGATTCCAACAATTTCTTCAACAGAATCTCCATAGACATCCTTCTTTGGAAGTTTCTTAAGCAAATGATCTCTGAACTTCTCCGTTTCCTATAACCCCAACAAAACCAAATAAAAATCCGAACATTTTTGACAAACGGGTGAAATAAAAGAGACCCAATTAAACAAAGAGATAAAAAAGACGAAGACGACGACGAAGAAAACTTACAGCATCAGCAAACTCAGGAATGGGGTCAGGGAATTTGTATTCAGCAGCTCTGCAAATAAGGTTTTGTGGGTTTCTACTACTGCATCGTTTGGAAGAAACCCAAGTGGAAATACATGTGTATGATGAAGAAGATGAAACCCAATTGACTGAATTTGAAATTGGAAGATAAACAGAGGGCGAAGACGAAGAAGAAGAAGAAAGAAGAATGGATGAAGAGACAAGTGAAATAGCCGAAGCCATCTTAGCACCCAGAGTTAAACACACCGCCCTTTTCTCTTAAAATATAAAATCTTATCTATACTGCAAGTATAGCTTATTGCTGTCTTTTTTTCAAAATATTCGAAAGTAATATTTATGTGTTATTAGACACGAAAAATTAAGAAAATGTCCAATTCCTCTAAAATGGCTCTTAAATATTTAAAATATGTACAAAAAATGGTGAAGTTTCATATATTTCTTTCCCAACTTTCTATTGAGGGTGCCTTGCAATAAAACATCGAAAAATTATATCACCAAAGTGTTAATAAACTAAATATGTGCAAAAAATGGGGAGGTTTCACGTACTGCTCCTCCATCTCTCTATAGAGGGTTCTGTAAATGTTTTTTTTTTAAATAATTGTCAGAAGTCATTTCACCAAAATATTTCATGTGCTAACACACACGAAAAAATTAAAAAAATTGCCTAACTCCTAGCGCTCCTAAATGCCCAAAATATGTGCAAAAAATGGTGAGGCTTCACGTATTGATTCCCCAACTCCCTATGGAGGGTTCCGTATATGTTTTGCAAAACAATGGTCTAGAAGCCAAGTCACCAAAATAATCATGAGCTAACACACACGAAAAATTGAGTAAATCTCCTAATTCTTGTAAAATAGCTACTAAATGCCCAAAATATGTGCGAAAAATGGTCATGCTTCACGTACTGTTGCCCCAACTCCCTATGGAGGTTCCGTAAAGGTTTTGCAAAAATATCATTTGTAACCTTTTGTTTTCAAAAAACCAAAAGGGAAAGAAGAACATAGGGACTGGACTTCACATTTTTGCTCTTGTTCTTGATGGTGTGTGTTTCGACATTGACAAGAAAGAAGGCAACTATTTTATACATGCCCTTTGATACACCTATATACATAGTAGTAAAACTATTTTAATCACATAACATTTTGTTCCATACATTTCAGACATGGAGTTCAAAACATCAGCTTGATCAAAAAAAAAAAACTCTCCCTTGGATTTGAGTCCGGTGTCCTAAGTCCCCACGAAGAGCTAGCAAAAGTGGCACAGCTCAAGATTCAAATCTTTGTTAGGGATTCTCATAAATTCCTTTCATGTGGTTCCAGCGCGGGAAATCCAAGGAATTCGAACACTTGCTTCTCAGTTTCAAACTTCAAGCTTGCACTACCTTTAGTCTGTGTAGCAGACGCCGAATTACACCAACACGAAAATGAAGAAAAAATGAAAGACAGGATAAAGTGAAACATATGTTGCAGCCACAAAAGCAAACTATTTACCCGTTTTCCACCAGAACTATGAGTAGCTGGATATAGCCCTGTATCATCCAAAAGGAAGCCCTTGGATTCTGCTAATAATCTAAGCCTGTAAAAAACATTGGAATATGAATTTGATTATAAAGAAGTGGCCGAAATGAACACTTGGTATAGCTGGGGTAGCAAGTAAACGAGGCATACCTTCTATTCAAGACGTCATTTCCCGTCCATGCTATCAGTCCAAATGCATATATATCCCTTGGATACACCTAACAACAGAAATCGAGAGGCTGCAACTTTTACATACTCGTGTTTGATGCAGGTTATTTTCCAGCAGCAATGAATGAACAAAAAAGTAGATCCAGATCTGACACTTGACATATAACAGAAGTGGTCAACAGTTAAAAGGACTTGGAACCAATATGAGACAAAAGCTATTCTCACACCAAGCTACTTTCTTTGATTATGTTTCAGTTTATTCCTGAGGACGAACACGTCGGTGATACTCAGCAATTCATATATCATAAGAACTTTTTAGAATTGTTTTTTGCAAAATTAATTGCCAAATTCTGGAAGAAGGATATGCACTCCTTATACTTGTTATTAATGGAATTGACCACTACATCTGTAAAACACCAAAAATATTGTGGAACAAGGATATGCACTCCTCTTACGTGTCATCAACTGAATAGACCACTTAATCTGTAAACAACCAAAAATATCTGACAAATGACATCTCATCAGTATTACCTTCAAGTCAATACGATGTCGCAGTTCTCGACCAGGGTAGGTGCAGAGGCCAAAATATGTGTCAACTCCTGAATCTGTACCCTGTAATCATATGAAACATTACTTCAGTGTCACAGTTGACAAGAATAAGATTTCTTTAAGTTTGACATTCAGTATTTAATTTTAGTTTCTTAGAAAACTCCATGAAAACTACAGCCGTGAACCCACAAAATTCTCTGACTAGAAAACATACTTTGAATAGTGTCTGTCGAATGAACAAAGCAAATAAGTGAAATCACGTTACATTCTGTTCAAATCCCGAACAATGCTTACAATCTAGATAGCAGTAAGAACTAAAGGTTGGAATAAACTTATTTTGACACTACTAATTTTCACAATTGCCCCCATTGACATAGATATACCACTATAACAACAGAAAGGCACAATAGATGAAATACGGCACCAAACTTTGGATTGACGAGGTTACCCATGGAAGTGGAGTTAATATTATTAATTCCTCCAGGCAAATAGAACAAAACAAACTGTTCGAGTTCACCTAAATTGACACCTGAACTTTAATAAAAGGGAGAATGAACAAAAGGTAAATTGGAAGTTTAAAAGCTCCAGTTCAAGAAAACATAAAAGCTCAAAATGAAATACAGCTGAGACATGATTAGTAAAGAAACATGAAGAGGACAGGTTGTAAGCTGAAAGTAAGTAATTACCTCTGTGCTATGAACACTGAAGACCAAATCTTCTCTTAAAAACTTCATGTCCTTTAAACGGTTTACAAACTTAGGAAGAAAGCCTTTATGACTGAAAGAATGAAGCAAAATTATCATATTTTCAAGTATATATCTGAAATGAAATTGACATGACAAGGAAATTAATAACAATAGTTAGGATCTAAGCACAAATACTACAGGGAATCAGCAAGAGCGCCAAGCAGAAACAAGTAAGCACGGGTGGG